GCTCTTCTTTTTCTAGAAGCTTGCGGTTCAGCATCAGGTTGTTTAATTGGGCTTGCTCTGTTTTCCTAATATGAGTATTCACTGCTATGAATTTCCCTCGTAAGACTGCTTTCATTGTGTCCCATAGATTCCAATATGTTGCACTGTCATTATCATTTAATTGAAGGAACTGTCTGATTTCTTCTTTAATTTCCTCTGTGACCTATTGATTATTGAGAAGTGTGTTGTTCAATTTCCATGTTTATGAAATTCTTGCAGTTTATTTTGCTATTGATCTCCAATTTCATCACACTATGGTCTGATAATATAGAAGGGATAACTTCAATTCCTTTGCACTTAGACATGTTCTATGAGCGAGTATGTGGTCTATTTTGGAGAACGACCCATGTGCAGCTGAAAACAATGTGTATTCTGATTTTGTGGGGTGGAACACTCTGTAAACATCTGTTCAGTTTATTTGTTCAAGAGTTTGATTGAGTTCTAGTATTTCATTACTTATTTTTTATCTAGTTGATCTATCTATTTGTTACAGTGGGGTATTGAGGTCCCCCACTACTACTGTATTAGTGCATATATGACTTTTCATATCCGTTAGTATTTGTCTTATATAGTTGGGTGCACTAGTATTTGGTGCATATATATTTATGACTGTCATCTCTTCCTCTTGGATTGTTCCCTTTACAAGGATGTAGTGTCCTTCTTTGTCTCTTTCTTAAAGCCTATTTGTTTAGAACTCCACATTTGAAGTTAAAGAGAACTTCATTAAGAAACTATTCACAGGGGCCAGGGATTTAGCTTAGTGGTTCCGCTGCCTGCCTTGTAAGCAGAAGGTTCTGAGTTCGATCCCCAGTACCAAAAAAAAAAAAGAAACTATTCACAAATCCATTTTCATCCTCCTCAAAGGAAAGGTAACAACTGATATACCAAACCTATTCATAAGGCATTATCAAGTTAACACATCTTCAGATCTGGATCATTAGTTGACATTAACATCTAGTATTTCTGAGACTCTCTCACCAGCTAGGGTAGCGTTGCAAGAGTCACAAAAATGATAGGACATTTAGCAACTTACAGAGACCCTGTCTCAAAATAAGAATTTTAAAAGTACTGGTATGTAGCTCAGTGCAAAGGCCCTGGGCTCAATCCTTAGCACTGAAAAAAAAAAAAAAAAAAAGACTTGCAATTCTTTGTATTCTAATATAAGATCCAAAAAAAATAATTGAACCTATCTTCAATAAGATTTTCTATTTAATCAGCAAAAAAGTTTCAAGTTTCCCTAATAAGGAACTAAAGCACAAAATCATAGCCAAATATGTACAAAGACCATATAAAATGAGGATTTATCCCCTAAAAAAGTTTATGTGATAAAACGACTTTTTTCTAGAGTTTCTTGATCAAGTAAATATTTCATATTTAGGTGAAACTAACTTTTTGCTATTTTTTTAATATAATAAACTCATGGGCTTTTTGCTTAATTCTATCCCTTAAACAAATCAACACATTTGACAAAATTTGACATCCTGCAATAAGCACGTATATTTTTCCTACCTGTTTCAGCAGTCGCTCCCTCTCTTCCGTTGGGGATCCCACGCTTTGGTCTTCTGCAATCATTTGATCTCGATGAGCCTCCAATTCATAAAGTTTTTCATGCAGCAATACAGCCTCCTGTTTTACCTGGGAGTGTGTTATTTCCTAGGACAAAAGAAGGGTAACTTTAACTACAGTATTTGTAGATTTAGAAAGGTAAGATGAGGTAGTTAGGCCCTAGTCCAGTATGAATGGTGTCCTGTAGGAAGAGACATCAGAGACACAGGTAGACCAAGGAATGTAGCTGCAAGTCCAGGGATGCCAACGACAGACAGCCACCTCCAGAAGCCAGAAGAATTCTACCTAGAGTCTCAGAAGGATCAGAGCTCTGTTGGCCCATGGTTTTAGACTTCTAGTCCTGAGAACCATGAGAGTGTAAGTTTTAGTTTCTATAAGCCACCCAGTTTGTGATACTTTGTTAAGGCAGCACTAGGAAACTAATAAAGTAGAATAGTTATTGTTTACATGGGTCTACTCTACTGTTCACAGAGAGAAAATCTGGGTGAGAGGCCAGGTGGGCACACCTGTAATTCCAGCACTTGGAAGGCAGAGGCAGGAGGATCACTGTGAGTTTGAGGCCAGCCTGGGCTACATAGTGAGTTCAAGACCAGCATGAATTACACAGCAAGACCCTGTCTCAAAAAACAAAGCAAGCAAGCAAGCAAGAAAGAAAGAAAGAAAAGAAAGAGAAAGAGAAAGAGAAAGAAAAAGAGAAAGTTTTACTAGGCAACACACTAAGAATGATGGCAGTGATGACTGACATTGGAATCTATTACTTACAGAACACCTATTCCGTGTTGGACACTGTATGCAATGTTCTATATGCTATCCGCAATAGTCATACTACAGCATTAATAGCTATCATCTCCAATTTACAGACGAGAAAAGTGGGGATATAAGATCTAACGAATTTTCCAAGTTAACAAAAATATGAGTTAATAATATTGGAAACCAACCCCATAGCATAAACAAAACCAAATATATTCTATCTGCACCCCTGCCCCTCTCTCTCTCTTTCCCCTTTGAGATACCAGGGACTGAACCCAGGGCCTTTGCACTGAGCTACCTCCCCAGCCCTTTTTCATCTTGTAATTTGACACAGGGACTCATTAAGTTACTAAATTGCTCAGGCTGAGTTTGAACTTGCAATCTTCTGTCTTAGTCTCCCAGAGTGCTAAGATTACAGGCATGTGCCACCACACCCAGCTAAGACTTTAAAACTTTATTTCTGAAAGTCGAAGAAATCTTTTAAAAAGAGGACAAAGGAAATATTGAAAGTCAATAAGCAGTGAGTAATAAATGCAGGATAAAGTTTAAATTCAGATAAAGTTTAAATTCAGACAAGAAAAAGGCAATGATACCAAGATATATAGAAGAAATGCACATATTTTGAGCTATTTTTCTGCACTGTATCTTCCTTTCATTTAACAATTTTATTGATTTGTTCAAACTACATTTAATAAATCTGTTTTTGAAAACACAAAACTTACATTCATTCTTCACCTGATTTTTTTCACACCCCTGTGAACAATGATGACATCTACAGAACAGTGAACACAAATTAGATATTCAATAAATACTAGGTGACTGACAGCTATGTGGCTTTTTGCTTGAAAAACAAATCTAGAAGGGAAGGTGGGAGGGAAAAAATCTAGTAAAAGTTAAATAGAAATTGTGACCTTATAGATTTAATGCAATTCCAATTGAGATCCCAGCACCATACTTCATGGACCTCAAGAAAACAATCCAAAAATTCATTTGGAACAAGAAGAGACCCAGAATAGCAAAAGCAATTCTAGGTAACAGAGACATGGCTGGGGGTATCACAATCCCCAACCTGCAACTCTACTACAAAGCTACTGTGATAAAAAACAGCATGGTACTGGCAAAGAAACAGACTTGAGGACCAGTGGAACAGATTAGAAGATGCAGAAACAACGCCAGACACACTCAGCCATCTCATCTTCGATAAAGGAGCCAAACACCTTCACTGGAGGAAAGATAGCCTCTTTAATAAATGGTGCTGGAAAAATTGGGCTTCAACTTGCCAAAGATTAAAACTAGACCTGTATCTCTCACCATGCACTAAACTAAAATCAAAATGGATTAAAGATCTAAATATTAAAAGAGAAACTCTGAACCAGTTGGAACAGAGGTTAGATAGAACCCTTGAAGACATAGGTGTAGGAAAAGATTTTATGAACAAAACATCAGTTGCCCGTGAACTAGCACAAACAATCAACAAGTGGGATCTCTTCTTATTAAAAGGCTTCTGCACAGCAAGAGAAACCACCAGCAGTTTGAAGAGACAACCCACAATGTGGGAAAACATCTTCACCTGCTCTTCCTCAGACAAAGGGCTACTATCTCGAATCTATAAAGAACTTTAAAAGATCAGACCTCCCAAATTTAAAGACTCAATCCAAAAATGGGCATCTGAAATGAACAGATATTTCTCAGACAAAGAAGTAGAAATAGCAAATAAATACATGAAAAAATGTTCAACATCACTGGTCATTTGAGAGATGCAAATGAAAACACTGCTGAGATTCCACTTCACTCCAGAAAGAATGGCTGCTATCATGAAATCAACCAATAACAAATGCTGGCAGGGCTGTGGGGAAAGAGGAACCCTGCTCCACTGCTGGTGGGAGTGTAGACTGATGAAACCACTGTGGAGATCAGTATGGAGATACCTCAAAGAATTAGGACTGGATGTCCCATTTGACCCCACTATTCCCCTGCTGGGGATCTTCCCCAAAGAATTAAAAGAATCATACCACAGTGATATATGTGCGCCCATGTTCATAGCAGCACAGTTTGTAATAGCTAAAACTTGGAAACAGCCCAAATGCCCATCAACTGGAGACCGGATAAAGAAAATGTGGTTTTTTAATAAAATGGAGTACTACTCAGCCATCAAAAATGAGAAATTAGAGACATTTATAGCTAAGTGGATGCACATTGAGGCAATGCTCTTAAGTGAAATAAATAGGACACACATGAATAAATTCAGAATAGTTTCTCTGGTGTGAGAAACTGAAAGTGTAAATAAGGACTAAATGTATAATAGGTAATGTGAAATAGGAAGAAAAGGGGCAAAGGGGAAGGAAGTGGGAGGGCTAGGGGAAAGGATAGAAGGGAATGGGATTAATATGAGAAAATGGAAAAATAGAAACAAAATCTTTGTAAATAGGGAGGAATGGAAGGGATGAAGGGAGGGCTGAGCAAGGGTGAAAAATAAGAACCAAGAGAGACTATGTAAAGGTGCAAATTTCCAATGATGAATGTCATTATATTGTATACCTAAAATGTACCAATGATTAGAATGAATAATCAAAAATGTAAAATAGGAAGAAAAGATCCAAAGGGGTAGGGGTAGTGGGAGGGGCAGGGGAAAGGAAAGAAGGGAAAGGAAAAATGATGAGAAATGGCAAAAATGGAAATAAAGTCTTTGTAAATAAGGAAGGGTGGAGGGCGTGAAGGACGGGCTAGGAATGAGGAAAAAATAAGAACCAAGATGCATTATGTAAAGGTACAATTCCCAATGAGAAATGCAATTGTGTTGTATACCTACAATGTACCAATAAAAGAATTTAATTAAAAAAAAAAGAAATTGTGACCTATACCTTATGTTTTCTTGACTTGAGATTTATACATTTTTAAAAACTCATCATTTTAGATATATATATATATACTGATATAAAGGAGACTGGCATCAGTACAAAAATTAATTCTAAATTATAGCTCATACTTCTTCCCATGGTAACTAAATTGGTCAAATTAAATAAGACCTGATACTCTCCCATTCACTCCAAAAAAGATAGGAATTCAGCAAGCTACCTGTATTACGATTAAATGTGTTCCTTCTTCCTTGAAGTATATTTCCATCACCAAAGATGTGCAAGAAAAATTATGTGCACCTACAGTGCACAACTAGACACAGAAAATTATCTTGATATTTTTAAGTAATTTTAATTGTAAATTCTCAAAAACTGAATTATATATATTATATATATTCACTTTTTACAAATGAGATGACAAACTATAATTGTCACAGTACAATTATTACTAGCCTTATAATCATATCTACCCAAAGCACAGGAAATCAGGAAAGGCAACCAAGACAGTACACTGAACTGAACATTGAGGTACAGATGATAAATATACTGAAATGCAAGAATATGAAAAGGCAGTTCACAAAAAAAGAAATTTTACTGCTAAACAAATACATAAACAGACACTCAACTTCATGCATAAATAAATGAAAATTAAAACAAGGTAGCATCTGGGCATAGGTGGCATTCTCCTGCAGTACCAGCTACTCAGGAAGCTGAGGAAGGATTGATTACTTAAGCCCAAGAGTTTGAGACCAGCCTAAGCAGCATGGCTGAGATCACATTTCAAAACAAAGTAAAACAAAAAAACAGGTAGTAAGTTTTACTTATTAAAGTAGTGAAAAATAGAAATGTGGGATAATCATTCCTGCCAATGAGAACAGGGGACAATAAACATCCCTATATGTCTAAGAGTGAAAATTCAAATAATGTGTTTTTGGAGGCAATTCAGCAATCTTACAATATTTTAGAAGTGTATGACTTTTTCACCGCTATAATTATGAGATTGCTGAGGTAGTGTTTGGAATTCTCCATGTGAGCCAATATATGTAAAGAGACGTACATATATCGTTAGTGTTGTAAACAATTAGGGTAGCCTGAAGCCTGAGTCTATCCAGAGTGGATGTAACCAATTTTGACATCATGCTACGGATAAATAAGCATTGAAAAATAAACCAAAGAACCACAGTATATTCTTTTTGTGAACCATGTTTTGTGGATTATTTCAGTTTCACCATGAGGCTGATATATTTCAATATTTTGAAAATATCAGTGTTAATTTTGAGTTGGCAGAGGTAACCTAACCAACTACCACTATGTTTGGTACTGAGATATACCTTTCAATAAAATTATTGAAATGCAAGAAGTGTATACCTTTTCATTTATTATAAGAAATTAATCTTATGATATATAACTGCATAAAATGCACATCTTCACTAGAGTTTATAATCACAGAAAATGACAATCTATGCATCTATCTTGCTGTTATAATCATAGAACAAAATACAAAGCAATGTCTTAGAGGTAAGATTTTCAAAATGATGCAGACATTCAATACATGGTGGTAGGCTGGGATGTAGCTCAGTGGTTGTGTTGCCTACCATGTGTGAGGCCCTGGGTTCAATCACCAGTACTGAAAAACAAACCAAAACCAATAGATAACGTTAAGGTGAAAAAAGGCTGTGAGTAGTATATCACCATTTCAAAAATGAATCCCATTTGGGGTTTGCTACAACTTTAAATGGAAAACAGGATTATGGGATGGTTATGAAAATTAATTGACCATGCCAGTAATATGTGTGAAGAGCTCAAAGAAATACAGTAAGTGTTCAGAAACTGCACAGTAGATCTGTGTGACAAGAAAAAGACTTTTACTTGTACTTTCATCTTTTTTTATTTTCTTAATTACAAACATGAGGTTTTTCTGTGAATTGAAAATAGCTTTTAATAAATTAGAAGACAAATGCAATCTTTTACATCTTTAAAGTGATTGATTCCTTTTCTTATTTATTTGATTTTAGTCTCTGGGCATATGTCTCTAAATTGCCATTAGATTCTGGCATGCTTCATTAAGGCAGAATAGTTTGTTTTATACACAGTAGGTATTCAATAAATGAATCTAATTTCTTACCAAACTAAGATCTTTGTAGTCCAGAACAGGAAAAAAACAGCACAGAATTCCTGTACTAACCTGCTAAATAAATATGTATGTAAGAGGGTAGATTCCATTAATATTCAGCTGAATTATTTTTTATAGCTGTGATGTAAGAACCTTTATTTGACTTTATACTTACAGTTTCCAGGCTCTCTTTCTTCATGTTCAGTGAATCTAATTCTTGCTGAAGTGTATCTAATTCCTAAAAAGGAATAAAAAGACAGATATAAATATGAATTACAGTAACAATAATTTGCTTCCCCATTTCTCAACATTTTGAATACTGTATAACAGTACAAAGTATATTTTGTAAATATTTTCAATCAGTATTTTGCACACTGACTAGAATTTACTAACATTTCATTATTTATTTTTTCATTATTTCATTTTTCTTTCTTTATTCCCAAAAACCTTGTGCTATATACCAAAGAAAACTTTCTAAGCTTATCAAAAGTAGCAAAAGTTTTTCACAGTAAATCAGTACAGTGTTCTGAAAGTATTAAATATTAGAAGCTTTCAAATTAAGGAAATCGTTGCTTAAATTAGGATTTTTAATTTTTATTTTTAACCACATTTGCATATGTTTTGACTAATTCCTTTTAGCATGAAGACCTACACACACGCGCGCCCACACACACACCCTCGTAAACATGGATTACTCCTAGGATAAGCCTTTTAACTACTCATTCATAATCCCTATAAAAATTAAATATGCCTTGTTAGTATTTAGGCATTTTTATAATACTCTTTCTTTGACATTTTATTGTATCTTACAAATGTTGTCTACAGTAAAAATTACACCAAAATGTCAGTGAAGGGACATCTGCACAACTTAAACTAAACTTATTTCTGGGTACGTACAGGGTCTAATTCTTACTAAAGGATGATCTGGGCATGAAAGGGGACCATCACAACTAAACAATGTGAGAGTTATCATAATCCCAGAGTGGGCACTAAATTACTTATTTATACGATATGATTAGAGGACAAGTATTCAAACTAGGGACACAACAGGTAAGTAGTTTGCCACTTATTAAGCAAGAAAGAATAGAAAAGAATGTTAATATCCATATAGTGCTGGTCCATAAAACCTTTTAATGATTCCATTAAAAGTACATTAGGGGCTGGGGATTTAGCTCAGTGGTTCCACCACCTGCCTCACAAGCACAAGGTCCTGAGTTCGATCCCCAGTACTAAAAACAAGAGTACATTAAAAATACAAGTGTTTTCATACATCTTTATGATATACAAAAATGAAAGATGGATAGAACTGAGCAAACAATAACTGTAAAAAAGCTAGGTCATCACACACCATAAGAAAATGAAGTTATCTAGACAAGTGCTGCTGAAATTTTGGGGAGGTGGGTGGGTTTTTTTGAGACAAAGTCTCACTATGCAGTCCAGGTTGGCCTTGAATTCACTATGTAGCCCAGGCTAGCCTCGAACTCAAGGCAATCCTCCTGCTTTAGCCTCCCAAGTGCTAGGATTACAGCATCTGAAATTTAAATACTCATATGAATTACCTGAGAACTTTGTTAAAACAAAGACTCTGTTTGGTAAGTCTAGTCAAGCTTTCACCAGAAGCTGATGCTGCTGACCTTCAGACCATACTTTTAGTTCAAAGACTGCCACATGCTTAACACTTAGTAATAATTAATACAGTATTACCTGTAATAATTTCTCATTTGTGCTTTTCATCTCTATGTACTTGACTTGTTTCTCAGGAGACATATTTCTGATAATGCCATCTGCTGCTTGTTTTTCTTGTTCAATTTCTTCTTCTGCACTCATAATTTGTTTTTCTTTCCTGAAATCAAAAGCATGCACTATTTCTATTATTATAGTATTGAAGAAAAGACATCAAATAATTTGAATCAGGTCTCAGTCTTTATCTAACAGGGTACTTAAAGGTATTCAACCATAATGTGTGACAGTAAAGTCCTTACATTTATACAAAACAAAATATTTAAACTATAAAATTTGGCCTCATCAACAGACTTATTTTATCTTTCTCTTTTTCATCTTCAAATTGTATTTCTTTACTCTCCACTTTACTAAGAAAACACAAAGATTATCACAGAAAATCCATAAAACCTCATACAGATAAGGATGCAGTTACACTTTTTGTCATGATGATATCCTCAAAAGATGAATGTGAGATAGTTTTAGAATAGTGGTTTTTGAACAACCTTTACCCACAATGTTCTTTGACCAAATGAAATCTTATATAGAAATTTGGCATACAAATCATAGAAAGCAGTGCAGCTCTGATTGAACTGGCAAGCAGAGAGACCTACAGGGCAATTTGATTTTTTAAAAAAATTATAGCTTTAGACTAACAATATGCTTTGCTTAAATTTCCTTTTATTTACTGCATTAATAAAGGGGCATTTGTGAATGGATAAAAAAGATCTTTTTTATACAATGGAGTACACTCAGCCATAAAGAATGATAAAATTGAGACATTTCCTAATGGATGTACCTTGAGACTATACTCTTAAGTGAAATAAATCAGACACACATGTGTAAATATGGCATTATCTCTCTGGTGTGAGAAACCAAAAGGCTAAATAAGGTTCAAATGAAAAACAGAAGAAAATGCGGAAACAAAGTTTTTGTAAATAAGGAGGAGAAGAAGGGTTGAAGGGAGGGGAGGGGAATTGGGAAAGAAAGAAGAATTAAGATATATCGTGTACAAGTACAAATTCCCTATGATGAATGTGATCATTATGTATACCTAAATTGTACCAATAAAATTAATTTTAAAAAGCATAAAAGGAGCATTTGACTAATCATGGATGCATTTTAGCACTGCAAAATAATATATTAACTATTAAGTATAAAGTTAATAAGAATAACCATCTTGGACCAGGGATTTAGCTCAGTGGCACTGCGCCTGCCTCACAAGCGCAAGCTCCTGAGTTTGATCACCGGTACCACAAAAAAAAGAGAGAATAACCATCTTTATCATATAACACATGAAATATCGTGAGGTATTTTTCTATACAATCAATCATTAATAGGATAGAGAGAATTTCTGAAAAAAATATGTGAGATGTCATTTACTGTATAAATACAACAAGATTTACATACAAAAAGTTTGATTTAACATAAATTTCCAGTTCCAAGATCAGGGTTTCAAAATGATTATTCTTTCACTATGTATTCTCATTCATCCACAGATACCAACTTTTACATTTTTCACAATTACCACCTAAGCCCAGTAACTGTACAAATCCCCATACCTTCTACACACTCATTTCCCACCCATACCCAAAGTAACCCAAACTCAGAAACCCCCCCACCAACATCACCTCATAATAATCAAATATGAGATGAACACAATGAAACCAGACATCTCAATTCATTTTTGTCTCACTGCTGGACTCACTGTCTACCCTTTGAACGTCAACTACTATAGTAAAACAAATGTGTTTGTTGCTGCTATGATTTCTATTGGTACATGACCTCACAAAATTTTTAAGCAAAAAGAATCACCTATTTCAATCTCTTGTTTTATGAATTAAGAATACTAAAGCCTAAAGGAGTTAATCTTTTAGAACTAATTTATTCTAAATGTTATGAATGTTCGCCATCATCAGTGTTTCTTCCTACCATGTCTACTGTAGTCACATGGGAACTAATGTACAGAACTCCATTCTACAGAGGGGCAATTACAGCACAGACACTTTGAGCCCTTTGCTCCTGTTACAACATGGTAGTAAAACAACTAAGGAAGGTGTCATAAAAATGAGTAAACAAAGTTAAATAAGTCAATGGAATACAAAACTTAGAGGTACCTTTTCAATTTGAATCTTTCAAAATACAAAATACCTTTAGAACACACATTAGAAACAATATATCTTTTTAAAGTATACATTCTCAATACTATATACTATATACATTATCACAAAATAAAATTGTTAATATTTTGATAAATTTTTGAAAAATAATTTAAAAACACAGAAATTAAGCAAAACACCTTACTAGTTACACTAAAAATAAAAGCCAGAGATTACTTTAAGAAATTATTCCTCTAGTCAATCTTTTGCTAAGGAAGTCCAGCTTTTTTCTTAATCACTTGTTCATTGGGTACAAAGGTTAAAACGAAGCGAAATACCATCATATGACATAGTTTTTTTTTCTTAGAGTATTGAAGAAACAGAATAAATTTCTTTAGCACACCAATTGCACAGATAAAAGGAAAAAGTTCAGGTGAGTTCCTATATATTCATAGATTTTGTGGCTGTTGCTGAATTTTAAAAAAATTAGTTTGTTAAGTCTATACAATAATCTTTGCCTTAAATGAAATGACAGAACATGATTGAAGTCAGAAATAACATAAATCTGGGATATGGCCAAAGAATCTTTCACAAGTAAAGTTATAATGTAATATAAAGAAACTGGTTTTCAGGCAGGAATAAAAGATTTCACCTAACAAATCAAATTTATGAAATATTTTTGTTATGAAATATGTTAATCATAGAGCATTTTCAAGTGGCTTTTTAACCTCAAAACAAATTAGCAAGATGAAAAGAACCACTTCCATCATTGAAAACACTTGAAGTTAGTGATAATGATTATCTTTAACTTTGTTTTTTTTTCCCCATGAAACATTTCATTACAGTAAGTTTTTAAATTAAAAAAAAAACTATGAAGTAGTTATGAACGGGAATGAAGCTGTTAATCATTTACATCTTACTTCAAATACACTAAATCTTGGCATAAATATCTAAAATACTTAAGGACAAAATTACATATTGATTTTATTTATCTATCTCTATATAAAAATATAAAGCAAAATAATTGTACCTTTTTCACTTCACTGCATATAATACTCATAATATAAAGTAAATAACCTAAGGTTGTACTTGAAACTTCATTAAGAACATGACTTCTTTTTTCAAATGTCTATCATTTGTTTTGGTGTAGTTTTTTTTTTAATTTGTAATTACCCGGCAGGCTATGTAAAAGGTCTCTTAATTTTACAAAATAACTAAAAGAAATGGATATTCTCACATGTTCTCTATTTTTATTAGTTCCTAAGTAATCATTAAAACTTAAAACATTATTTCAAAATAAACTGCAAGTTAAGAAAAAATCTAAAAAGAGAAAAAAGCAAAGTGATTATCTTCTTTTTAAATCAACTTTTTGAAAGGGTAAATTAACTCCTGGACAATTTCCACACATTGTATAATTTACTACGCTGCCAGTATGATTTCTTTAAGATTTATGATTTCTTGCTGGTAATGCCAGCAAGTGCTTTTGTCTAAGGATTAATTCAGCATCATGATGGTCAATGTTCATGTTCTTTCTCAACCTTTCCCCTGTCAAAAGTTACACAAACATGTGAGAAAAGACCATGGACCATGTGAATCAAACCCTATAATGCTTTAGACTTCATGAATACTTTCTTGTACAGAACTCTGAGCTTTTAACTCTAAAATTTATCAAGAGGAAAGAAAAAACTAAGATTCATTTTCTAATCCTTATAATTTTATTTCTTTTAGCATACTGGAGAAAAGAAGTATTATTAAATAGATAAAGACAATAAATACAAGATTGTCCTCTGTTTCCAAGTAGGCTCAGTCTTACCTCATCTCCATTTTCTTCCTTACCTGTTTCTATTCTACAATCAATTCTTACTTAAATCCAGTTAATTTTCTCTATAGCTTATTTGCTTCCTTTAACCATTTCTATTTATCTACAATAACACTTCTCCCTAACCCTTCCTTACTCACCTCTGTATCCCACCAGGGGAATAGGTAAGAACATCACCACACCACAGAGAAGTAACAGAAACAGCCATTAAAGAGGCTGTGCAATTATTCCTAGAGATCATTAAACACAGCTAAACTACCATTTGTAAATGCTTTAGTCATCTCTCTTTTATGGACAATGGTTTGGAATAAGTGATAAGTTTAAATTTATCTGTGGCTCTAATGGGGACTCTACTATAACGTATATCCAAGTTGCTTTTAAAAGTCTAGGAGGCACCCTTACAAGCACAAGGACCCAAGTTTTATCCCCAGACCAAAAAAAAAAAGACCTAAATTTGTTAGGTCTTGTTTGCCTGGCGTGGTGGTACACACCTATAATCAAATGTTATCATGCTGACAATTTCTGGACCATTTAGAGTTCCTGCATTGTCAGCATGAGGTATTCTGGAAATGGAGGAGGGGTTCATTCCTCCCTGCCTGTGCCTAGCCAGTTAATATTCCTCGCCTCAATAGGAGATTAGAGGATTTTCTTTTTTCCTTGTAGAGAGAAAAAAATACAGAGCGAATCTGGGCAACAGGCACAAGTGAGTGAGTACAGGGGCACTGCTGAGATTAAGCTTACACACCCTCTGCACCAGTTATTCTCAGAAAGCTGGCAACTGGGCCTTAACTCTTTAGGCAGGAGATGAGAAGAGTCAAAAGATCTAAAGATCATAACATTTATGGATAAGGGTAGGGATAGAGATGAGGATAGGAGTTCAAGAAAAAAGACAACAAACACAAAAATAAGAAAACAATAGGTTCATGCAACCGGATTCTACAAAGAAAATATTTAGAAAAAAAAAAAGATGTCTTAGGGTTAAAAATGACAGTAATAAGAAATCTTTAGGAGTTTGAAGATAAAGATGTCTTTCAGACACCAGAGCAAAGACAGAGATGAAATGGGAGAAAAAACAGACTTAAAAAAGTCATTCCAGTCCAATACCCAGTTAAAGCAGCTCTGCAAAGAGAAATGAGTTTTAAAAGAAAAGAAAAATTCCCATAACTGAGGGAACACAGCTTTCAGATTAAAAGGGCCAACAAAGTATCCAGTTTAACTGATGAAAACACTCTCACAAACACACAGGAGTATGAAATTTCAGAATACTGATTTTAGACTTTTCAGAATATTGATTATAGATTTTTCATTAAAGGATAAAGAGTGAGAATGACACAGCAATGAAAAAGACAATGGAACAAAGCCATCAACATTTTGAAAATTTATTTCCTAGCTACTCCATTAAAGGATGGCAATAAACCAAAACAGGATTCTAAAAAATAGAAATCTAGGAAAAAGGAAAAAAGAATACCTATAATGAAGGCAGAAGTCAACAACTGTGTAGAAAGGAGGCCTATTGGCTGGCTTTTCTAAATTAGAGAATAGGAGCAGGCTATAGAACAGACTTTTTTAAGCAGGTGAAACAGATTAAGGACTTACTATGTATTAACTATCAAGTGTTTTGCTATGGTAAAGTATAGCCATAAATTCATGGAAAAAAAACCCAGAAGCACATGAAAAGGCCAAATTAATTTAGAAAAAAATGCACAGCAATAGAAAAAGTAATTCTGTTACATGGCTCAGTCACTGATGGCTTAAATATATTTCTGATAATATAAACATTGACTGTTTATCATAACCAAATTTACAAATAACTATGTTAAGAAATGAATGTCCAATATATTGGAAATTAAACTACGAGTGTTTGAGAGAAAGCTAAAGATATTTATCTCCTACCATTGTCAATGGGTACCAATAAATAACACCTAAAATTGAAAAGTCAAAAAGGAGTAATATAAACATATACTTAATATGCATATATAAATACATATTCTTATGAACTTTCTTTGGGCACATATATTAAAACTTTTAAAGGTACGACCAGTTTGCTTTAAAGTTCCTTTCAACAGATCTGGAATTAATGAAACACCACAGAAAATACTGAATGGTTCTCCACAGGGTCTTTCTACTTTGTTAAGATTAGAGTGCAGTGACAGTGAAAGGCAGTATACTGTACTTGTTTCACATTTTAAGAAAAACTAGATTTTAAAGGGAAAAAGGAAATCAATATGTCTTCAATAATCTCTAAAGTTTTAGTCTTCCACTGAGATGAAAATACTCTCTTTTCTATCAGGCCTGCGATATGAAAATCACAAGCATCGTGATCTTGCTTTGGCCCTTCTCCATGCTATTATTATCAAACAAAAGCCAGACTTCTAAAACTGTAAGTTTTTACAGGGAAGGTAGTCAAAATGTTTTCAAAGGTACACTTTCTGTACATCTGCTGTATTTAAATATTCAAAGGCAAAAAACAAAACAAAGAAAGAAAATACAAACTACCAAAATTGACTAGATCTCTGAGCCAGATCCTAATTTGACAAAGGCAGTCTTTGTTTTTTGTTTTTTTCATGAGTTGATTAAAAGAAGCACCCTGTGAGCTGAGTGTGGAGGTGCACACCTGTAATCCCAGCACTTGGGAGGCTGAGGCTGAAGGATTGCCACAAGTTCGAGGCCAGCCCGGACTACATAGTGAGGTCAAGGACAGCCTGAACTACACAGCTAGATCCTGTCTCAAAAATAAACCAAAAAAAAAAAAAGCACAGTGTGATGGCAGCTATTGGGGAAGCTGAGGTAGGAAGACGCCAAGTTCCAGACCAGCTTGAGCAATCAGTAAAACTCTATTTCAAAAGAAAAAATAAAAAGGCTGGGGATGTAGTGCAGTGCTACAGTACTCACCTAGTATGCTTAAGACCCTAGTTCAATCCTCAATACTGCCAAAAAAAGAATGTTGATTAAAGAAGAAATCTCCAAATTTTTACCATAAAGTCAGTAGTTAGTTCTAAGACATAAAAACCAGAGTTTAAAATATGAGAAACATTTTTTAAAATCACTTATTTATGAGGGAAATTATTGTTACTGTCAAGAACTATTTAGGACCGGGGATGTAGATCACTGGGCCACGTCTCCCTGGCAAGTGCAAGGTCCTGAGTTCAATCCCAATACAAAAAAAAGAACCATTTCTTTCACCAAATTTAATCATGGCTCAATTTCTGGTATAAAACAAATACTTCTTTTTAAAATACCAAACTAAAGCCAGGCGTGGTGGCACATGTCTGTGATCCCAGGACTCAGAAGGCTGAGACAGGTGGATCACCACAAGTTTGAGACCTACCTGGGCTACACAGTGAGTTCAAGGGCAGCCTGAACTACACATATCGAGAGCCTGTCTCAAAAAACCAAAAAACTCAAAATAAAAAATCAATCAAACTGATGCCAGGCATGGTGGCACACACCTGTAATCCTAGCACTTGGGAGTGCTGAGACTGGAGGATCACTTTGAGATCAAAGCCATAAGATACTGTCTCAAAAAAAAAAAGGTTATCTAAAATACCAAACCGAGCAATACATGGTGGCTCATGTCTCAGCACTCTGGGAGGCTGAGGCAAGAAAGACTGCAAGTTTAAGAGTCTAGCCTCAGCAATTCAGTGATTTAGCAAGACCCAGACTCAAAATAAAAAATAAAAATGAACCTGGCCTCATTCCCTAGTACCACAAACAAAACAAAACAAAAACACCAAATTTTGAGCTGCTAAAAGAACTTGAATTGAGTATTAGTTTTCAATTAACAGCATGAGGCATTAAAATGTACACATTTTAAAATAATTTCCCCCAAAATGACTACTTTGCACACTAGAATATTAAATAAGTTAGCAGAATTTATATTTAACTTGACATTTATATTTCTATATATAAATAGGAATATATCAATATTCTTTCTGTAATCATAATGGTTGAGAGACACCTGTATAACAACTAGAACTGCCTTGTTTGATCATATCAGAATTTCTTTATTCTTAAGTATTTCATCCCAATACAGAAAAACATCTGCTCCACCTTTTTCACACTATAACATCAAAAGATTAGATAGATTTTTTTCTGGAATTATTTACTTCCAATATCCAAGTGTTTGGTTATGAAATTTTGAAAAATTCTTATTTTTCCTGGTGAATGCATTTCTTTTTTCTTCTTCTTCTTTTTCTTCTTTTTTAGGAAGTCAAATGTAATTTCACGGAAAAGAATTATTCTTTAATTCCAGAGGATATCAATGACAATGTTACTATCCTTGATCTCAGTTATAACCAAATTACTCTGACTATTACAGACACAAGGGTGCTCCAGATGTATTTTTTACTCACTGAGCTCTATTTGACTAAGAATAACATCATTATCTTACATAGTAATAGTTTCAGTAACCTCTCCAATCTAGAAATCTTAAATATCTGTAGAAACTCCATTAATGTAATTCATCAGGATGCATTTGTAGGCTTAAATAAGCTAAAACAGTTACATCTCTGCCAAAACAAAATATCACAACTGGATCCTGACATGTTTGTGCCTCTAAACAACCTGAAACTTCTGAATCTGCAAGGAAATTTGTTACACTACTTTGAAGGACCACAACTCTTTCATCTGGAAATAATAATTTTATATGGAAATCCATGGAACTGCTCTTGCAACCTATTCAATTTGCAGAACTGGTTGAACACATCAAATGTGATACTAGGTAAGCTATCATAATTTAAATTCATCAAAACTAAAATGTAATTAACTTTTGCTGATCTGCTCCAGAAAAATCTCATTTCATTTTTTTTTCTCATTTCATTTTTTTATAAAATGGAAACATGGGCTGGGGGGGTGGAGCCTGGTGGTAAAGAGTGTTTGCCTAGTAGCATAGTGCCTTGGGTTTGAGATCCAGGCCCACAAAAAATTTTTAAAAATAAAAAGGAAACTGTTCCTGTTTTAAAAAAACAAAAACAAAAAACCAGGAAGAAACACTAAAAACTATTTGCTGAATAAATACTTCCTTTACCACCCCCAGAAAAAAACAGATAATTTTTTTAAAAACAGATAATTTATATGT